GAATATTAGTTGTTTAAGGAAGATATATTATTTGGAATATTAAATATACAGAAAAAGTAATTATATGTGTGTGGGCGGCAGGGGCGGAGCTAGGATTTGACGTTTGGGGGGGGGGGGGGCGGAATTTCGTTAGTATAATATTGTGAAAAGTCTAAAATTTTAAAATAAATAAATTATTTAAAAATTATAGTATAATAATCGTATAAACATTCTTTGAGATGACTAAAATCATTTTTGTTTATATTATAATTTTTATTTTGTATATTATAGTAGAAAAAATTTAATAATTGCATAAAGTATTTTTTGAAATGATTAAAATCACTCAAAATAGAAGTTAAACTATCAATTTTTTCACATTAGGTTTAATATGAAATAGAAATTCATAAAAGAAAGGCAACAATGAATTGTGTAGCAAATTCTTTTTTTATAAATGAAAATAAATCTATGCCAAATTAGAAATCAAATATAATAAAAATACCAACCTGTAAGAAGAAAATGTTTAATAAAATGTTTAATAAAATGTTTAATGAGATGGAAGTACAAAACTGTAATGGAAAATGTTATATATAAAAATAAATGAAATCAAAATACAAAACGGTAAATCAAGTAGAAATTTAAAGAAGCAAAAGTACAATGCAGTAATGTCCGCTGTAGGTGGGAATCGAACCTAGAATCACAAGGTTATTAAAAATGCCTTGAACAGTTAGGCTAAGTTGAATAACCAATTATTTATATTCACTCTCAATGATTTTATACTGAAATTGTTTTCAATGTGTAAAATACCCGACCATTTGTACGTTACTTTCGAAATTCTCAGGGGGCGGGGCCCTCCCGAAGACCAATGTAGCTCCGCCCTGGTGGGTGGGTACCCATGGGACGGGTTTACCTAAAACCAAACCCAACCTGACCCGATGAATAGTGTAGTGGGTTTAAACCCAAACCCGACCCAAAACCCGTGGGTTTGGTTTTTGTTACCATCCCTGCTATTACGGGGTAAATTATAGGAAGCAGCACACCAAGTCCAAGGAAACAGAGTGCGGTGGCTGGCCTGGCGCCATCTTCTCTATATTTGATCATCTTTCCATGTGAGGAACACTGCTAGCTAGCTAAGTTCAGTTGGTTGGTAACTTGGTCTTCGGGGTGAGGAACACTTTTCCGTCGGCACAACAAGACAACCCACCGCCGCTAGCTGCTCGCGCGTTACCCATGCAGCCCTTAGTTTTTCCTTTGTCGCCCAACAACCATTCGAGACGAGAGGCCAACGGCCAGTAATGCATGGATGAAGGTTTACTGCCTCCTTCGTCTATATATACTTGGATGGTCTAGCTGAGTTGCACAATTACTATGGGGTCATTTCAAATTTGGTTTTGGTGATAGTTTGGTTGGGATAGTTACAATGCATGCAATGTTAACAATGCATCGGTTTTTTTTATTATTATTTTCAGTGCAAACAATACATGCATTGTTTGCTTGATTTGACACAAATTATCACTCAAAATGAGTGATAGTTAAATCTCAAGTTTTCATTGAGATTGTTTGATGGAGATTGTTGTGTTTTCTTCTTCTTTCAAATATGTCCCTACCTTTTTATATGTGTTGCTTTTTTATATTAAAAACAAAGGGTAAAAGTGACATTTCACCCAAAAAGGGATATAATTTATTTAAATACTACAATAACTATCACAGAAACCAAACGATGTAAACTACAATACACCAATTTTCTTATATACATGTATATTATTATGCATGCATTGATGACAATACATGGATTTAACTATCACCAAAACCAAACCACCCTATATAAAACCATGTACTAAACCAGCTACCTCACACTCACACAGGTACTTGAACTCCTCCGATCCGATATTTAATGGAAATCAATAATGAATGAAGCGGTTATCTACGTACCCTCACAATGTCGCTAGCTAGCTACCTATCGTATGAAAATGAATTAGAAGGAGAGCGAGCGTACCTCCTTCTCGAACACAGATAGGATACATTATATTAGCTATTTCCCATCCTTGCAGTTACAAGTTACCACATTATTATATATATCATTAATCATGCCAACTTAATAGAAAATAGATTTGTTTGAGTTTGGGATGGGATGGGGTGGAGGTTAGTGCATGATTGGATCGGCCAACGAATGCCGACAGTTGCATATTGATTTTGTCGTAATTATTTATTAGTTTTAGTTCTATGAGATGAACATCTGGAGAAGTTGACGGGCAGATAAGGTATCGATCCCCAACCCCATGGCCATGTGTACGTGTTGAAATATCAATTTCCAATCCCAACTCACATTGTTCTGCTTCTGTTTGTCTCCCCCCTCCCTCCAGTTTCCACGTTCCCTCAATTAATTTCATTCAGATTATACATAAGGGTGGAGATTCCCAATTTAATTGTCAATTATATGTGTGCAATAATAATAATAATAATAATGCTATCAAGCTAAGGTAATATAATATGTATAATATGATGATCTCCCCCAGATATGAATTTTGGCGCCATCAGCACACAAATCAAATTATGGAATTATACTAACTATTGGTACTTTAATGGCTGGCTAATTAATTTCCTGTTTTTTTTTTGACAAAAGATAATCTTTCCTGTTAATCAAGCAAGGAAATCATACTAGAGCGGAGCCCAATGGGATAGGTGGATTCTTTAGTATATCTTTTTATGTTTTACAATTTTATACTTGAATTTCATTTTTTTAATAAAACAAATCATTGGAAAATTATATTTTTGGTAGACAAAAATTTTATCGTGATATTTTAGTACCTGAATGTTTCAAAATTTTCATCTTGATCCAATGTTTATATGTCAATTGAATCTATGAATTCAATCCATTTGATACAAATCTATCAATCCACGAATCAAATCAATTTGTCATCTCTAGTCCTGGCTTAAATGAACAATATATATTGTCAGCCTACATAGGGGTGAACAAAACAACCCGTCCCCCCGTCCAACCCGACCCAACCCACCCGTATTTATTGCTAAAATTAAAATTTATGGTTAGTGAGGTTTTTATTTTGTACAACACGCCTCTATTGGGGTTGGGGTCCGGATTTTGGGTTACACATTCCGTAGAACCCGACCCAACCAGTGTTTTGATTATTATCATAAATTTTCGTATTCAAAACATATTTGTCATAAATTTAAGATATTTTATCATATTTTTCTCTTGTGATTTCCCTAATGTAATACATTATTCTACTTAATATTTAGATGTATATTTAATATATCTTACAATTCACATAATTTTTTTAGTGTACAATTTTTGAAGAATAATATATTATGAATGCGTTCTCTTATAATCATTTTAGTTTATTTCGACAAATGTTTGTGGGAAAAACTAGACCGATTTTGAAGCAAATTGTGTTTCATTAAAATTCAAATACTATTTATGCATTTTGATACTGTTTGTTTTGATTTATTTGTTTAAAATTTTAATTATTTATATAATATTTTGTGGTGTAGAATATTTTTTGTATTGGGTTGAGTTTTTAGTTAAAATTATCTCCAACCCGGCCCAACCCAACTATAAACAAATCGTAGGGTTCTAAATTTTTTAGATGGGTTTGGATTTGATATTTTCAAAACAGTAGTATATGAGTTGGGTGATTAAAATGATCAAACCCGAACCACCCGACCCATGTACACCCCCAAGCCTACATGTTCTGATCGTAACAATACTTATATAAACAGTTGATTCCGATGTGATTGGGGAGACAAATCTGATTAACCTATGCAAACATTGAACCTATAAGTATAAATTGAGTTTACATTTAAAGGAATCTTATGAAGAATTATATGAGATTCATGTTAAAGTGTGTTCCCAATTGGGCCGGTTTTATACATCAGACCAAAACAAGCAAGCATCTTTGACTCAAGGGTCTCTAGGCAATACGGTGACCAGTAAGTCCGACCACCAAGGAGACTCGTGGTTGTGGAGGAGTTTTTAGTTTTGACATTATCTCATCTCATTGACTCATTCTACGAATTTTCCTTCTAGCTACCGATTTTCCCTTTCAGGATATGGTCCACCACTTAGATTTTGAAGAATGGTTCTTCATGTCCATCCAATGGCCCACAAAAGTGGCCTTTAAATTAGAGGCTCGGCTTTATTAAAGTAATAGATAGTGAATTATGGAACCCACAACCTAAAAAAGTAGCTGACATGTGGGCCATTTACTTTTAACAAAATATAACTTATACATACTATTTACACGTGGTATATGTATATTTTTATTGAACTAAAATTATATTGTATCGAACAAAAGACATATTTGAATTGAACAAAATACATATTTGTACTAAACAAATGTTATATTTGTACTAAACAAATATACACATTAGAATATCATATTCATATTAAACAAAATATGATATTTGCATTGAATAGAAAACATATTCCATATATGTGATTTCTATATTTGTAATTTTCCCAACTCTTATTCAAAATAATATACCACGCATTAAAACCCATATTCTTACTAAATATAAAACCTATTGCTACTGATCACAAAACATATTTGTACAAAACAGAAATCATATTCAGCATTTTCAATAGCTTGCATTCCTTACTCTCTCTTGTGTCAGCTCTCTTTCAGTGCGTGGGCCTCGTAAAAGCAGTTTTTTGTCAGCTCCTTTTCAGTTGCTGACCTCACTCTTCACTACTACTTTTTACTAACAAATTTTGACCTTTAATTTAAGGCTAAATTGCACGTTTGGTCACTCAAATTATACAAATCTTTCATGTTTGCCACCCGAATTACTTTTCTTTCTTATTCGCCACTAACTTTACGAATCGTTTCACGGTTGGTCACCGACCGTTACACTCCGTTAAGTTTGTCCTACGTGACAGTCAACTATAATGTTTGACCGTTAACTAGATGACGTGGAATTAAAAAAAATTAAAAAAAAATTCTTTCCACCTCATCATTGCACTTATTTTGTCTATATAATTTATCATATTAATAATTTAATGAAATTTAATAAATTACAAAAATGGGCAAATCCAAATGCTCATCATCCTCACCCTCACCATCCACTCCATCGTTCTTGGTGGCGTCCCTCCAATCGAATATTACATGAGTATTGTAGGAGTAAGAAGAGACCTCCTTTTGACTACCCTTTCTAAAAAATGCAGCAGGCGAACGAGCCCAATTCTTATGCTTGAGCTTCAACAATAATGGGGAAGCGGAAGGCAACTTCCTTATATCCTCCGAACGAGCATAAGCATAGTCCTCCGTGGTGGCATCAGAATGGTTAACGGAATTCGCATCCATGTTGCCTAGGGCTAATGACGGCGAAGTATAATTTCGAAGCAATGGTGTCAAATTAATGTGACGGGTGTGGTTGTGGTTGTGGCCATATATAGGCAAAACATCCGATCGGGCAGCAGCTTTCTTATCCTGCTTCTTGATCAGAGCAGCTTACTGGAGTCCTCCCCGCCGCGACGTCAATGAAGCTCTCTTCTTGCAGTGGGCAGGACTCGCCGTTGTAGGAATCACCTGTCATCAACATAAGCAACAAAAGCTGCTAAATTTAGGGATTTGTGGTGGGAGGATTTTCGGTTGTAGAGGAAGACTGGGCAGTAGGGAATGGGATCGACATTGTGGGCATTAGAGGAGAGAGGATCTGCAGGAGCAGATCTGGACGCAGAGGAGTAAGGAGGGGGGAGAGGGGATTTCTTCAAGGAGGAGGAGGTCGCGAAGGACGCGAGAGGATTTTCTGATTTGGGTGAGCCCTCTTCTGCGATGGAGCCTGCTGGGATCAGCTACCCGGAGCTCCGCCATGGCAGTCAAAGGGCATGTCAACGCTAGTAAGAAGAGTGAGTGTTGTGAATGATTGTTATCCTCCCAATCATGGAGGCAACCTCATTTGTCATTCGAAGGTGGAAGATGGGATTCAGAATAGGGGAGTTCTACAGATCTGAGGGAGATGGTAATTTATTTATGTTTATTAAATAAATAATGTGTTAAATGACAAAGTAAATGCAATGATGAGGTGGAAAGGAAAATTTATTTATTTTTTATTTCCACATCATCTAGCTAACGGGCAAACTTTATAGTTGACTGCCACGTAGGACAACTTAACGGAGTGTAACGGCCGGTGACCAACCGTGAAACGATTCGTAAAGTTAGTGGCGAATAAGAAAGAAAAGTAATTCGGGTGTCAAATGTGAAAGATTTGTATAATTTAAGTGACCAAACGTCTAATTTAGTCTTTAATTTAATGACTCATTTTTATGGACCATTGGGATTGAATGTAAGATGGAGAACCGTTTTCCAAAATCTAAGTGGTTGCCGATATCTGAACTCCGATTTTCCTCCCGAGCTGGCTGGGTACTGGCTTTGTTAAGACAATAAAATATTCTGAAGAGAGAGACAGAGAGAGTATTGGAGCTTGCCACGAAATCCTGGTCTTTATAAAGCCACAGACCACCGCCCCCTCAACAGCATCCCAACATCTCACTCCCTCCCTCTCTGTTTCATTGTTTCCTCAATCAACGGGGTAATACTTGCATCGCATTTTGCAAATCTCCTCTCTGTTTCTCCTTCTTTCTTTCTTCCCAACTTTCACTTTATTATTATATGTATGTATGTTATGTATGTAGTCCTAACTTGAAATGAAAAATGTGCAGAAACGTAACATTAATGGCTTCCCACCACCACCTGATGCTTCTACTCCTGGCGACAGCCCTTACCGGAGCAATGGGTGCTGCACCGAAGAAGCCCGTGAACGTTCCTTTCGGCAGGAACTACGCTCCCACGTGGGCTTTCGACCACATCAAGTACTTCAATGGCGGCAACGACATTCAACTGGTCTTGGATAAATACACAGGTAACGTAACCTCTCTTTCTCTTTGACCCATCATCCCCTGCATTGCATGTCCCACCACAATAACACTATACAAAAGATTAATCATACACTGAAAATGAACCATCTTTTTTTTTTTTTTTTTTGTCGTCGTCGTCGTTGTTGCAGGGACGGGATTCCAGTCGAAAGGGTCCTACTTGTTCGGCCACTTCAGTATGCAGATCAAGATGGTTCCCGGAGATTCCGCCGGAACTGTTACTGCCTTCTATGTGAGTAAAAAAAATTCCTCCCCTGACCAGATGTGCTGCTCTGTAACGGTAACCATGGCTAGCTACTTAGCTAATCCAATTCGATTTTGGCAGCTATCTTCGCAAAACTCGGAGCACGACGAGATCGATTTTGAGTTCTTGGGCAACCGGACCGGGCAGCCGTACATTCTGCAGACCAATGTGTTCACCGGCGGCAAGGGAGATAGGGAGCAGAGGATTTACCTCTGGTTCGACCCCACCAAGGATTACCATTCCTACTCTGTTCTCTGGAACAACTATCTCATTGCGTAAGTTGCAAAACTAGCTAGTTATTATTAATTATGTCACTTAATCACCATTACTAACTATGTTTAACAAAAAGTTTACCATCCTGTCAGTTTAACCAGTCTTTAAACAGTAAACACCAACCAACCATGTAGCTAGCTAGGTATAAATATTGAAAGTTATTTCATTTTCAACCACCTGAAGTCCTGAACAACACTCTGACTCTGGCTACTGGCTAGCTGGCGACAGAGGATACTAACTATTTGCTCACGTACGTGTTACCGCTTTTTCCAAAACTCCTAATTGTTGTTCATTACGTCACTAACTAACTAACTAACTAACCAGTCAATAATATATCTATCACTAGAGCCTGCCTAACCGTAGGATCAAACTCTCATTTGGGTACGTGGCAGGTTCTTTGTGGACGACGTGCCAATCCGGGTGTTCAAGAACCTGAAGAACCTGGGGGTGAAGTTCCCGTTCGAGCAGCCGATGAAGATCTACTCCAGCTTGTGGAACGCCGACGACTGGGCGACGCGCGGCGGCCTGGAGAAGACGGACTGGTCCAAGGCCCCCTTCATCGCGGCGTACAGGGGGTTCCACGTGGACGGCTGTGAGGCGTCGGTGCAGGCCAAGTTCTGCGCCACCCAGGGTAAGCGGTGGTGGGACCAGAGGGAGTTCCAGGACCTCGACTCGTACCAGTATCGCCGCCTCCAGTGGGTGCGCAATAAGTACACCATCTACAACTACTGCCAGGACCGGGTCAGGTACCCGGTCATGCCCAAGGAGTGCAAGCCCGACCGCGATATCTGACGACCCGACCAGGCTGCGACCCGTGGATGAGAATATATTAATGGTGCTTATTGTTTTGTTATTAATTATCATAATAATATTATATATATGTACGTGATTGGTGATTGTACGTCATTATTATTATTACGGTATTTCACATTTGATGTGTTACTATTATTATTGTTAAAATTAATTAATCGATTAATTATTGTTTTTGCTTTGCCCATATTGAATTAAGTTGAATAGTACCCATGAATTTGGGTTCAAATTCATTATCAATGAATTGGCCTATTCGAAAAAAGCCGGGTTCTTTGGAAGACCAAAAAGAAAAAGAAAAATTAACAAACAATAAAGCGAATAAGACACGCTCACGATCCAAAACTCGGCAGCGTCATGTTCAACTTTCTTTTATTGGGTTGAACCGAGTTTGTAACAAATTCACAACTCACCCAACCCGTCAATTACAAAAGAAAATAGAACTCACTCCCGCCTAAAAACTTGTGAACATCGGGTTCAAGTTGTTTTGATAAGGTTGAATAGGTTGGATACCTATAGGTTTGGGTTTCAACCAAAAGGAAAAAGATAAATAAAAAAAACACTAAAGCGGATAAAAATCGCTCCCTACCAAAAAACTCAGCACACCGAGCTCAACTCACCTTGACTGGTTCGAACCGAGTTTTTAACAATTCACACTCGACTCAACATGTCAATTCTAAAAGCAGGTAAAACGAACTCTCGATACAAAACTCGTTAGCACCAGGTCTGGTTTCAATTGTCATTCTTAACCAAAAGGAAAAGGAGAAATAAACAACATTAAAGCGAACAAAACTCACTCTCGATCTAAAACTCCTCAACACCATGTTTAGCTCGCTTTGACCGGATTGAATCGAGTTCTTAACAAATTAACACTCAGCCCAACCTACCAAGTAGAAAAGCGGCTAAAACTCGCTCTCCATACAAAACTCGTCTATATCATGGGATTGGGTTCAATTGACATTCTCAACAAAAAAATAAAAAGAAAAAATTTGTTGGGTTCAACTCGCTTTGACCTGGTCGAATTAGGCGGGATACCCATGAGTTTGAATTCAAGTGTCATGCTTAACCAAAAGAAAAAAGAGAAATGAGAAAACTCTAAAGAATATGAAACTCGATCCCAATACAAAACTCGACAACAAAAAGCAGATTTAATATTAATTTTTCGCTAGAAGTCTTGGGAACTATGGCTGGGAAAATAGACCAGACCGTTTGGAAAATCGTGGATCAAACCGGACCGCACTGTTTGGTGCGGACCATAGACCGTGAAGAATGGTCTGGTCTGGTCCATGGTTTGTATTATTATGTTAATGTATGTGACTTTATGGTGCGAGTTGCGATTATTCTACTTTGTATCTTTGTTATTTACTAAAATTTAGGGTGTCAAAATTATTCATGATATTCGAGTCTAAATGCACACATTGTACCCCTCATTTCTTGATAGTTTGACTTTGCATTTCATTGTCTCTCGACCTATTTTACGCTAGGGTGTGCTTGTTTTTTCATATTTCAGGTCCTAGCATGTGTGGGGAGATTGAGGACGAGTTTCGGGTCGATTGGAGCTCGAAAAGCGCGAAAAAGAGCAATCATGACAATTGCCCAGTGACCGTGAACTAGCCAGGGTCTAGAGCGTTTCTACAAGTTACTGGCGCCAAGTCAGTTCACGGTCATAAGATCGTGAACTTCAGCTCCAGACCGTGAAGTGTTGTAGTGAAACGACGCGTTTCTGGCCGAGATCACGGTCCAGACTTTGAGTTCATGGCCGTGAACAGCCTTCGATCTGGGTATAAAAGGAAGCATCATAAGGAAGAAGAGGGGAGCTGGTTTTTGGAAGAGAGATCAATCTATCTTTGATTAATGAATTTATCTATTTGGTGGATGTTTGGTAAAGATTGAATGAGTTTGGATTCGTTGACTTGTCAATTGAACTTTGACCTAGGAGGGAGGAAATCCTCTTAGAGACCCCTATTGGCGTCTTCGGGTCACTCCTATCGTATATTGTCCGGGTAATCCCCGAGGGAGTTGATTCCACTAGTCTCCTAGCAATATATGAAACCCTAGGTTGATTAGAGCTCCTACCCATCCATCACTTCGTCGTTCCGGGTCCGTCCCGAGTGAGCCAATCTCATAACGGTAGGATAGTGTATCGATTGAGTTAGGATAGTACTCAACATCGATCCAAAGGCTAGAAATAGGGGGATTCAACCCAAGAGTGCTCCCGAAACTTGTAAATAGCTAGGTAGTTGTTAGCTAGGTTAGTTCTTCTAATCACCATCCTAGGCTGGCTAGATAACGAACCCTAAACCTGAAGTAGGGTAAGCCTAGATCTCCGTGGTACGATAAATTATTATTGCTTGCTTCCCCTATGCTACACCCGGTCAGCGGTTATACTTGGCCGTCGATTGGGATGTCGTAGTTAGATCGAGTCATCATGCATGTTGGATTTTATGTTTTAAGGCAAAAAACGATTGTTTTTCTCATTTATTGGTTCAATTTTTAGCGTGGTAGACTTAACAAAGTGTTCATTTTTCATTCAATGTGGTCTATCTGGACCATACCGTACCAGATCAGACCGCACAGGGGTGGTCTAGTCTGGACCGTCTAGTATGCGGTCTAGTCTTTAGTCTATACTTTGGCCTCTCGGTCTGGACTGTAGACCATTTATATACCAGACCGCACCGTTTCCCAGCCCTATTGGTAATGGGGAATGGGTACAAATTATGATTCATTTTTCAGTATTAGTATTGGGTCATAGTGGATGGATACAAATTAGGATTCCACCAACAATGTTTGGAGACGGGTTATGAATTTGTGGGCGAAGATGAGGATTGTGCATAATAGATATTTTATGGATCTTCGGCAGCGACCGTGGCATCTATTATTCACTGATTTCGTTGATAGTGTTTCAAGATGGGTTGCGAATTGGTGGGCAAAGACGATGATTTGGGTAGAAGATCATAGACAAAAACTAGTGTGGGAAATCTAATGGGCAATAGATGTAGACCCGACGAACAATAGATGAACACATAGGTTATAGAATGAGAGAGTGAGGTAAAAGATGGACTTGAAACTTTCCCACTTGCACTTGGAGGAGTTTGAGAGCCACTAATGAATAGTAACTCCAATGTTAGGCTTTTTTCAGTAGTAGTCTTGGGGCACGGTGAATGGGTACAAATTAGGATTTCGCCAACAATGTTTGGAGACAGGTTGTGAATCAGTAGGTGAAGGCAAGGATTGTGCATAATAGATATTTTATGGATCTTCTGTAGCGACCGTGGCATTTATTATTCATTGATTTCGTTGGTATTGTTTCGAGATGGGTTGCGAATTGGTGGGCCAAGACGATGATTTGAGTAGAATATCATAGACAAAAACCTAAGGATATGAAAACTTAAGTAGACAATAACTACTATGGGAAATCTAATGGGCAATAGATGTAGACCCGAAGGACAATATATGAACACATAGGTTATAGAATGAGAGAGTGGGGTAAAAGAGGGAGTTGAAACTTTCCTACTTGCATTTGGAGGAATTTGAGAGCCACTAATGAAAAGTAACTCCAATGTTAGACTTTTTCAGTTGTAGTCTTGGGCACGGTGGATGGGTACAAATTAGGATTCCAGCAACAATGTTTGGAGACGGGTTGTGAATTAGTGGGCGAAGACGAGTATTGTGCATAGGGCTGCAAACGAGCCGAGTCGAGTCGAGTTTTTGCTTAGTTTGAGCTCGGCTCGTTTATAAATTTTTCAGCTCGAGCTCGGCTCGAACTCGAATTTTGATCATCCAGCTCGAGCTCGACTCGATTAAAAATAATCCAGCTCGACTCGATAGAGTTCGAGCTCGATAAATGCTCATTAACACAACTTGTCAAGCTGAGTACAAACTCGGCTCAAAACCATTCTTTGCTGAAAAATGTGTACAAATAAGAACATAAAAAACTAAAAATGATAAAAAGAACACTAGAATCTAAAAATAACATCTAACTTTCATACACATCCTTATTAACTAGATAATTTTCATGTTCAAAAGAGTAATTAATCCTTCCACAAGCTCTAAACAAGCCAGCTCGCCAGCTTAGCTCAACAGGCCACCGAGTCAAGCTAGCTCACGAGCTTATCAAGCTGAGCATGGTCTAGCTCAAGTTTGGCTCGTTTACTGACGAGTAGGCTCGCGAGTCGGCTTGTTAAACAACGAGTCGAGTGTCAAACGAGTTTTTTTCGGTAACGTCGAGTTGATCGCGAGCGGCTTGGCTCATTTGCAGCCCTAATTGTGCATAATAGATATTTTATGGATCTTCGGTAGCGATCGTGGCATCTATTATTCATTGATTTCGTGATAGTGTTTCGAGATAGGTTGCGAATTGGTGGGCCAAGAGGATGATTTGTGTAGAAGATCATAGACAAAAACCTAAGGATATGAAAACTTAAGTAGACAATAACTACTATGGGAAATCTAATGGGCAATAGATGTAGACCCGACGGACAATAGATGAACATAGGTTATAGAATGAGAGAGTGGGGTAAAAGAGGGACTTGAAACTTTCCCACTTGCACTTGGAGGAATTTGAGAGCCACTAATGAATAGTAACTCCAATGTTATACTTTTTTAAGTTGTAGGCTTGGGGCACGGTGGATGGGTACAAATTAGGATTCCAACAACAATGTTTGGAGATGGGTTGTGAATTAGTGGGCGAAGGCGAGTATTGTGCATAATAGATATTTTATGGATCTTCGGTAGCGACCGTGGCATCTATTATTCATTGATTTCGTTGATAGTTTTTCGAGATAGGTTGCGAATTGGTGGGCCAATACGATGATTTGTGTAGAAGATCATAGACAAAAACCTAAGGATATGAAAACTTAAGTAGACAATAACTACTATGGGAAATCTAATGGGCAATAGATGTAGACCCGACAGACAATAGATGAACACATAGGTTATAGAATGAGAGACTGGGGTAAAAGAGAGACTTGAAACTTTCGCACTTGCAGTTGGAGGAATTTGAGAGCCACTAATGAATAGTAACTCCAATATTAGACTTTTTTCAGAAGTAGTCTTGGGGCACGGTGGATGGATACAGATTAGGATTCCAGCAACAATGTTTGGAGACAGGTTGTGAATTAGTGGACGTAGGCGAGGATTGGGCATAATAGATATTTTATGGATCTTCAGTAGCGACCGTGGCATCTATTATTCATTGATTTCGTTAATAGTGTTTGAAGGTGGGTTGCGAATTGGCGGGCCAAGAGGATGATTTGCGTAGAAGATCATAGCCAAAAACCTAAAGATATGAAAACTTAAGTAGACAATAACTACTATGGAAAATCTAATGGGCAATCAATGTAGACCCGACTAATATTAGTTGAACACATAGGTTATAGAATGAGATAGTGGGGTAAAAGAAGGACTTGAAACTTCCCCACCTGTACTTGGAGGTAGGGTCGAAAATTTCCTGTCCATGTCTCGTCCCTGACCCTGTCTGACCCTTCCTCTGAAGGGACAAGATGTATAACTGACCCGTCCCGTCCCGTCCCTGTCTCCTTCTTGACCCTGTCTGACCCTCAAGGATGGGACGGGTCGGGTCAGTGGGTCGACCCTAATCTACACACTACTTTGTTTACAAATTACGTTTTGGTACCCAAAATTATTTTTTCTTACAATTTAGTACCTAAAAATTATTTTTTTACAAATAAGTCCTAAAATTTTGATGGTAAAATTACATTTTGGTACCCAAAATTTTTTATTTTTGCAATTTAGTACCTTAACTATTAAAAGTTTTACAAAGAAGTCCAGTATGGTATGAGATATTTGTTGCTGCTAAGGGTCACAGCCTCACATGGTCAAAAAGTGACCCGTCCATAAGTTGACCCGTCCCGACCCTTATAGGATCAAAAGTTGTCCCGTCCCTAATCTGACCCTATAGACAAGCTGTCATGTCCCTAAACTGACCCTCTGGGACGGGACGGTGGATTTTTGGGGTCACACTTACGTCCCTACTTGGAGGAGTTTGAGAGTCACTAATAAATAGTAACTCAAATGTTTGACTTTTATATATTAATTAATTAATATCAACCTTTTAATTAATTAATATTAATATTAATATTAATTAATTAAAAGGTTGACTGGTAACGTCCTTTGCCTCCAACAACAAAATACTGTTAGTGTTGTGGTATATGATCCACGATTGAACCTCTCCCAACAACTCGAGTTATTGGGATCAACTGGTTCTTGACATGGTATCAGAGCGTTCTGTGACCGAGAGGTCTTGTGTTCGATTCCCGGTGACCCCCATTTGTTAAGCACATGGTATTCTTGTCTTGTCTTCAGACCTGCGCAAATTTCAAGCCCTTTATGAGTGGCTTTCGTTTGAGGGGGCGTGTTAGTGTTGTGGTATATGATCAACGATTGAACCTCTTCCAACAACTCGAGTTATTGGGATCAACTGGTTCTTGACATGGTATCAGAGCCTTCTGTGACCGAAAGGTCTTGTGTTCGATTCCCGGTGACCCCCATTTGTTAAGCACATGGTATTCTTGTCTCCAGACCTGTGCAAACTTCAAGCCTTTATGAGTGGCTTTCGTTTGAGGGGGCGTGTTAGTGTTATGGTATATGATCCACGATTGAACCTCTCCCAACAACTCGAGTTATTGGGATCAACTGGTTCTTGACAAATACTACATAACAATGATCGTATGCTGACACCGTCTAATCAAATAGTTTCACTTTCACATTTTTAGCCGCTGAATCAAACACGCAGATGTTGAACCAGGGTAAGAATGGTGAAAAGGGACGGATATCTTAGTGAGAGCGACAACACCAGCCGAAGACCCCCCACCGGCCACCACCACTTTTATCCTTTCTATCCAGTAGAAAACCTACACAAATTGACAAAGCCATCTTTTCTCGACACGGCTTTTTTGACCCACTGTTTTGTTTTCCCTTTCATGGAATACCGAATCCAGTCATTTATGAAATGAAGTCCAAACTCCAAATCATATATGGCCAGTTGGCCACCGGTAGTGCATTTTGTTTATCAAGCACATCTACAGAAAATCCAACAAAAACCGAATTGAACATCAATATTCAATAACCTTCACCGGCCCCGGGGGCAGTAATTAGAAAATGAGTGCACAGTCTACATGAATGCAAAGAGCAGTAAATACTGTAACCTGACAAGGTGAGATCTTTTTGACACAGTACCACATTTATTTCACTGCTCTTACAGTATTTGGAACCAATGAAATGAAAACCCCTATATCAAGCTTTGAGGGCAGCCCCTACTTTCACAAGCTCTTCCAGGGCCTTAGAGATCTGCCCTTCGTCCTTACCCTCCAGACGAACACCCCTCTCAACACCCATATCTAAAACAGAGATCAAATGGAATCAACAAGTTATATTGAGACTGGATGAGCAAAGGTAACAACAATCGAACTGAAACCGAGAGCAATGGGACAAAGCGAAAGTTGATTGAGGAAACTCGGATTAAAGTTGAATGATATTTACGAACTTAATGGCAGTAGATGTTTAGAAGCGATTCATGTATCCCAAACTACGGGTACTTGTGCAAAAAAAAAATTTGCTTTCCAGCTCCAGAAGGCTATTCAGAGTGATATCTAAATAGATAAGTGAAAAGCTGTTGGAATTGGAACAAGATTTATCTTCCAAAACTAAGAGATTGCCTATACACTTAACAGGATTTGACAATGGAGCATATCTTAGTTCTCATAACTCACGCTTATCCAGTTGAGATATAAATTATGCCAGCAATGTACTTGTTCAAAGGACTAAATAGATGAATATAGAAGAGCCTATTACAAGCAAATATGCATAGGAAGGATAAACACAACCAGCTCAGACCTCCATAAGACATTTCTGGAATTAAAAGAGTATTAAGGAGGGCATAAGAGTGTTCAACCAGCTACACGGAGATATATGTAGGCTGTTTTCAGATAGAAAGCTTTCCTAAGAGTTTTCAACACTCTAAAGACACAAGTCATCTTCACAATTAAAATCAATCACACTGTCACAAGCATTTTGAAAGGTCTATCTATAATGTGTTTCAGATAAGTCACAACATCGACAAAACCGAGCCACAAAAAGAAAATTGTAGATAAACAAACAGAACGAAAGGTAGGAGCAGACTTCATCTTCCACTATTTCCAGGTGAATGAAGCACCTGGTAGCTAACCCTACTAAATGATACTGAAGAAACTCATTTATATACAAAAAATGATACTGAAGAAATTCGACGACAGACTTCCATCTACCAATCTGTAACTGGTTTCAGCAGAATCCATCAGTAATCCTCCATCAGAAAGTCAATAGATTTGTTATCCTAACTCTGAATGGTTACAGTTGCACAAAAATCCTAATGCTAAATAGTAATACTATACCCCATCATTGTTTCGAAATATGTCCCATTTCAGAATCATCCAAGCATATCAGATTCCGCTGATAGGTGAAATGAATCAGAAACACCAAAATAGTGGAACCTAAAGCTAATTCAGATTGCGATTGCCTCCCACTAAGCTGAAATTGTAAACTTTGATCCAACAACGGGGAAAACCTAATACAATGACCAAAACCAACCGCAACCATCCCTGGTGCCTCTACAGCCTTGGTATTCCATTAATGTGTAATCAAAGCTAACTTTGCTATTACGATGACAAATGAGAGAATCCTTACCGTATCTAGCCCAAAGCTGGGGCTCGATTCCGCTGCATTCGCGGATCAAGATTGGAAGCTTGGGGTTGAGAGTCTTGAGATCCTTGTAGTTCTTCTCAATAAAAGTTCTGCCAGAGGCATATTATCAATCAAGGCGTCAATTTTCGAAGAGAGATAGAATAAGAAGAAATGGGCGAAGGATTGGAGAGGGGAAATTTTACCTGGTGGACGAGCTTGAAGCAGATGACTGGCAGAGAAGAATTCGAAGCTCCCTGAGATTCTTAGAAAGCTGACCTCTCCACGCCATGATTGAAACTACGACTCCTCCTTTCGCACAATCTCACAATCAGTTTATCTACCGCTCCTTGAAAGCTTTCGCTTCTCCCAGCTCTCTTCAACCTTTCCTTCACCTAAGGTTATTTATGTTTTTTTTTTCTCCCCTCGATGGAGAAACAGTATAGATACGAGGTGTATAAAATGTTTACAATTCAAGTTACAAAATGAAAAGAACCAAAAAAAAAAAAAAAAAAAAAAGCTTACGATCCAACGATACAAAGGAATTTTTTTTGCAACGAATGGGCAATCATATTATACATATGAGGTGCACAGTTAAACATAACACGTCGAAATGATGATTGTAGCACCAAAATCTCCTACAAGATAGCTCCATCCATCGCGTGGGACAAAGCCTCACATCTACACATAATATAATACAAGGATCATAACCAATCACACTAAATATATTTGTTGTATTTTTATAAATTAATATAATAGCAGGGAGGAAAAAACCCTTCCCCTATCTCAAATTTCGTGCTCCAGAATCGTTTGTAGAAATGGTAGAATAGGGAGTGTCAATTTTTTTTTCTTTCCTCTGTGGAACGGGCCAACTTACCGTACACATGCGGATTTAAACGGGTCCAGGAGTGTCAATTTTTTTCTTTAAGCCCTTTTATTTCTCCGTGGTTATAAAAATATATATGAAAAGGCAAAAACAATACTCCTTTTTATTGCTAAAAATAAAAATTTTAACAATAAACCAATGCATGGATTCTAATGGGCTAACCGCTAACCATAATAAAAGAGTTGAATGGGTCTGACCTACGCCGGATTTGGCCATCAAGTAAAACAAATGAACATCATTGGTTTGTCATTCTAAAACAAGCTATTTTCTCTAACATAATATATATTATGCTATTATTTTATATCTTAGTGGCTAAAATATAATGTATTTTAAAGTTATTCAATGGTTCAACCTCGACCAACCCAATTAGTCCAATTTTTATCATTTCAAATATATATTATATAATTTTTTGATATCATAATGATCAAATTATAGTGTATTTTATAGGAATCGTTTGGCATTTGTTAGTAAAAAACTAAACAGAAAGATCTATTTGGTTATTTTAAACATTAAAACGATTCTAAACATTTTCAGTTCCAATTTCTATGGTTTTATTCCCGAAGAAGTGATGTGCAAATGGCAAATTGCATTCATCTCTTTTCTTTCACTATTTTTTATTTTCAAATAGAAAGCTTAAAAGTAAAGAATAATTAGAATTTGGCATGGGTCGGTCAAACAGGCTGAATTTTAAATTTTGGCCCGTTGTGATCAAGTCTAATTTATAATCACATGGTTCCCTGATACCCGATAAAAATCTCAATCCAAACCAGTTTGGCAGGTGAGTCCGTGTTTACCACCATTTTCTAGGGATACGACAACGGCGGTTCCTATACCAAATCGTGTTGTTCGTTCTTTATTTCCTTAGATTTTATCATGGCCTGACAAAATCCAGAAAGCACAATGACGACAAGATGAAAGTTTTATAAAGCAAATTAATCGGCCAGCGGGCCGAGTAAAAGCTAGCAACGATTGTGAGATGCTCATTTCCCGAAAACCGACGGGATAGGCAATTTTTTATTCGATTTTCTGGAATTCGGTTTCTATAAAACTTACTCCACCTCGTCATATTACCATAAACAATATTGTTTCACAAGGTAACATGTACTTGACTTTGGTTCATAAGGCCGATTTTTTATTCGTTGCATCATTCATGTCTATTTCCTGCTAAAATTCACTATTTTATCACGTGTTTCCAAAAAAAAAAAAAACTATACAACAATAAGTTATACACCAATTACATTATCAAATTTCATACCTCACCTTGCTCCGACCAACTGGTCGGGGTCACACTAGTCTACTATACTTATAATACGCTGAAGGGGAAAACAGTTTCCCCATTTCAAATTTGCTGCCTCCAGAGCGTTTTACGGAGGGGTACTTTTGGAAACATAAAATTGCAATGGGCTCCTCTGGAGATGTTGAACGGGCCTACTAATTGTCTAGGCCCAGGAAGAGAAAATTCGTTCCAGAGGTGTGAAGAAACCCCAAGTTCTTTTACCGTCATCATCCACTCGCCCCTACACTGTGTGCGATTCTGCTATGTCCTCCATTCTTAAGGCTGCCGTCGACTCCATACACGCCGGTGTCGGCAAATCCAACCTACTCTCCCGCTTCACTCGCAGCGAGTTCTGCTTGGGGTCCAAGTCCACCATTGGCGTCGAATTCGCCACTCACACTCTCCAAGTAACTTCCTTTTCCCACCCATCTCTCTATTTCTCCCCTCAAAAAAAAAAACCTTTAATTGCTCTGCAATTTCGTTTTGCCGCTTGATCGATCCCTTGCTTTATTTCCCAATTCCGACGTACCTATTTTGATCTGGGTCACTACAGTAGAGAAATTCGAGTTTAGTTATCCTCTGTTCTGGTCTGGAGACATGTTTGTTTTAGTTCGGTGTTTGACTAGGAGTTGAATTCTGTTGACCAAAGAGGATCTATTCGGTTTTGAGTTTGAATTTTGAATTACACCCACCAGTTGGAATCTACTGATCATGCCCTGGATCTGATTCCTTTTGTTGAATCAATATTAGACGACTAAGTGGTAGTGGTTTACTTGGTAGCCAGTGATCCACCGCCCACTGAAGTGTTCGATTGGCAAAATGTGTTTAAAAGGAACTCATCCTTACAATTCCTGTTGAGTTGCTGGGTGAAGAGGTTAAAAACTTAGTCTTACACTATATAATTTGTTGCCAAAGTTTGGAACTTGATGTTGGAACTGGGGTTTTATCTAGCGAAGAACTTGTATCACGTACCTGATGAAATGTTCTTAACTGTTGTTTGTTATGTGGGAACTGTTTGGTATCATGTGTTGAAGAATGGTGGGATATATGCTGAAAGCATGAAACCTTGCTAATGCGAGATCATGCTAAGAAGAACACATAATCTAAAGAGCGAGATATGCTTAAAGGACTTGAAGCATGTAGGTTAGAGTTATGCATTCTAAGTTCTATAGAAGTTGAATGCGTATTGTTTGATATACTTTGTAACTGTTCTGTTTCTTAGCATAGTTGTGCTTATTTGTCTCCGAACTTTATCATCTTACATATGTTTCTTCCGATTTCGGTGCTGAGAAGTAAATCTTTACCGAGGAACCAAAAGTTGTCCGATTTTGATGTTTGTTCAATGCCGAGAAGACAATCTTTCCCGAGGGAGATAACATCAGGTTCGTTTTGATTTGCCCATGGTTGTGGCGAAAAAAGAAATTGATGCACAATTTGGGTTGGTTTTCCATTTCCAGTTTGATTTGTGTCGAAATTGTCTGCTCATAGGTTAGTTAGTTCTACTGCCTGGATGTGGGTCTCCATGATAGTGATTGATTCTCCAGTTGAGGGGTTCTTAACTTCCAATTTGAGTTTGTTTGGAAGTTCCTATGCAGGTTGGGTTTTGAATCTGAATTGGGTCGTGCATTTTGTGCCAACATTGAACTGGATCACAGTGCTGCATATTCAACTGTGAAAGGAATCGCCAAGCTTGCTGCTTCCTTACTTCGCAGGCAGCTGGTAGCTGGACTCTCCGGGCCTCTTCTGGTGCTGTATTGCATTGGCTTTATTATATGCTTGATGCATTTTGAGTGCTCTTTTCTTGCGGTCACGCTCCTCTGAACACACTCTTTTGTTTGTTGTTATTATCAGCTATATTTCAATTTTTTTACTTCTATCAAGGTTCATTGCAAGCTTCACTATCCGTAGCTCAGCTCTCCTACTCTGACACAAACAACTTCTTTGAATACAATAAGCTAGGGGAGTGTGGCTTTGCCCTGTCTATAAGGTTTATTTCTCTCTTCGCAGTATATATCTTAGTTTGTTTGTTCTTTCTATGACCTATGAATGCATAATTAAATCTACCATTGATACCTATTTGTGATCAATTATTTTCAGGGAGGAAACTCAGAACCAGAGTCAATGAGCAACTAATGCAACTGAATGCATAATGAAACCTCCTATTGACACCTCTTTGTGATCACAAACTTCATCCAAACCGACACAGTGATTTAACAATGCAATTCACAAGGAAAATTTTTAGCAGCATACTCCCAACATCTTTCCATTCCTCTATCGCATCTAGATTAACTAATATTGCACTGAATATCACCATCCAAACCTCATAGAACCTTTATTTGATCACTCGAATACAATCGTTCAATGTCTGGCTTTATCTTATAAAAGGGATTTGTTGCAGATAAAGAAATTGGAGAGCAACGTGAGTACCTCCTCGGATGCTCTTTCCCAGGTTAATCCATTTGGTCATCTTTTGTTGCTATATAGATATATGAGAATTAAGTTGTGCGGTTGTATGGATGCATTTGAATTACTTTCAATCCAAGAAACCCCTCGACTGTTGATCTCTTTGGTAACATATTTTAGGAGAATCACACTACTGGTGTAAACATAAAACCTAAGCATATTTTCGCTTATTTTCTCGCCTGCACTGAGTAACTCTCCAGATTGAATATAGAACCAATCACACAACACTCCTATTCAAGTATATTTCCATTTACCTCAGCCACACGTTAAACAAGCAGTTCTTTGCAAGCTTTGCTTTAGGAACACGCTACACTCACCAATGAAATATATGGTGATTTATAATACTTTTTTTTCAATAATCTAATAATTGTTTGACAATATTAACCAAAAAGTCAACTAAATTGAATAACAAAAATTGTATTGCATTGCATAATCGATAAGAGTAATCTTGCTTGGATATTAGAATATTATCTTCTTATAAGTTATATTTTTAACAATGGTTACGTTTACTTTGTCTTCCTAAGTGATCGAAATTTAAGAAAGGAAGCCTCAAAGGATTAAAACAGAAATACTTAGTTAATTCCAAAACCGACATTCCTAACCAGCCTCATAGGAGAAATATATATATAAATACGGTAACAAGTTGAGCAGAATGAGACGGGGCGGAGCAAAGTGGGTTGGAAATTGATATTCAGGTAATACCCATAGGATAGGTTCAAATTGCCATCACTAATTATCCTTGCTGAGTAATAGAGATGCAATGAAGAATTATTGACTAACCTACCCCGGCCAACGGGCCGGGTTATAAGCTAGTTTATATCTAAAGAACTACCTGTGTGTCACCACAAAACAAGACGTGAGAATAAAAATGGGTCGAACACCAACGAAGAGCTAAAAGCTCCAAGACCAAGAGAAAGAGAAACGAGGTCGGAGATTAGGGGATAGAATCGCTCAAAAGCAAAGTAAACAACAATTTCACTCACCAAACTGACAAACCCAACTGCTACCCCCACCCTTACTTTAGTGGCACCATCAAAATGAACCCGAATAGCATTGCTTGGAATGGTAGGAGAGACCGAGTTATGGGACTATGAGTAGGGATGGCAATGGGTTGGGTTGGGTCGGGTTTTGCTGAACCCAAATCCATGGGTTTATCCGTGAAAAAAACTCGGGGTAAAACCCACTGGGTTTGAAAAACTCAAATCCAACCCAACCTCCTGGGTATCCGCGGGTTCATGGGTACCCACGGGTTTTGTCGTAAAAAATTTACAATAACAAGTTCCTATCAAAATTAAAGTCAAATATCAATTTCTTAATACAAATTATCCATATTTAAAACACCATTCTAGAAAATTCAAGCAAATCACAAATTAACTATACAAATTTTTCAACACCAATCTAGAAAACTCAAGAAAATTGAAGCAAATCACAAATTATCCATAAATAACATGATTAATTGAAAGCTTCTTCCTTTCAATTAAGTTTCTTCACTCTCCACTAGATAACATCAACTTCATTCTACACAATTTGAAAGAAAAAATTAGACATGTCTCCACAAACATAAATAAGATTAGTTGTTTAGAATATTAAATATACCGAAAAATTAATTGTATGGGTGTAGTCGGGTACCCATTGGTCGGGTTTACCTAAACCCAAACCCAACCCAACCCGGTGAATAGTGAACGGGTTTAAACCCAAACCTGGCCCAAAACCCGTCAACACGGATTTTACCCGCATTAACCGGATTAGGTCGGGTGGGTACCCGTGGGTTCGGGTTTTGTTGCCATCCCTAACTATGAGTCCCCATAACCCTGCGGCAGGCGCCTAGCAGATAGAGGTGGTTGAGAAGAAGCCAAATCCCACTATGTAACTTGAGCATCAAATTGCCTTACCAACACAGAAGGCATATATTGTAGATAGTCATAGGTCGCAATGCACCGAGCTTTCCAAATACGCAAACAGAGAAAAACCAAACGATCTAAAATATCACTTCTACTATACTATACTATAAAGTATTGGTGCTTTAATGTACAATTTAAAGTTGTATCATAACATTAAATGTATAAATTCAGGTTGTACCATAAAGGAATTTGTGCTCTTATGTTATGGTACAACTAAGTTGTACCATAAAACAATTTGACAAAAGAATATAGGTACAATATATCGTTGTACCATAACGTTAAAGAAGGAAAAAAACATATAGCACCAATGTTATATAGCATTGTAAAATTCCTTGAAAAGACATGTATAAAAAATATAAAAATATATATTGCTACATGTGAGTAGGGCTGCAAATGAGTCGAGTTCAGCCGAGTTTTATCCCCAGCTTGAGCTCGGCTCCTTAATAACCTTGACTCCTATTTGATATATTCATTTTGTATGCACATGTGGTTAATGTCAAGATGAAAAAATAATAATGATAATGGTTAAGTGTTCAATATTAACTAATCTCAGATTATACTTTATGGTATCATATTATTTAGTTAATAAATTTTAACTAGTCAAAATATGTTATTTCATATTATCGAAACAATTTATGATGTATAATTTCTTTTTAAATTAAATAAGACATATTTGCTCACATAGTCTCGTGTTAAATATCATATAGGGTGAGATATATAATTTAGCAATCCTATGAATTATCAAAATTAAACTCATATATATCGATTTGCTCATAAATCGATAATCGAGTTGGCTCTCTAGCTACAATGTTAATAATTGAGACATCTCATGAGCTATAAACGAGACAGCTCAGGAATTGAACTCAACAAGCCACAAAAAAATAAGAGTAAACACACTTCTTCTTATTTATTTTTTTTAATCGCTAGAGAGATCAATCCATTGGGTCGATCCCACAGAGTCCAACCATCTAAAAGCCTGCATTCATGGGCTTGTCCGTTCATCCGGTATCACCTACCAATGTCCCTAACTTTGGGCTTTAAACTTTACATGCTCAAGTGCCTTTCTAGCCCAACTCTTAAGTCACATTCTACGAACTCAAATCTACACAATAAATAAAAGCCAAATAAGAAAACTTGAAGCCCCATTTCAAATTTCCTGCATCCAGAGTGAAAGTAGGAAAGACATTTTGGTCTTCACAATTACTTTTTTTATTCATTAAAAAGACACTTACTAGGATTCGAACCATGACCACTTCAAAGAAAAGTAAAGATCATAACCAATCACAATAAGTACATTTGTTGTATTTTTTTAAATTAAAAACATATAATCGCAGAGAGGAAAAAACCCTTCCCCCATTTCAAAATTTCTGCTCCAAGAGCGTTTATAGGAAGGGTAAAATAGGGAGTGTCAATTTTTTTTCTTTTTCCTCTGTGGAACGGGCCAACTTACCGCACACATGCGGATTTAAACGGGTCCAGGAGTGTTAATTTTTTTCTTTAAGTACTTTTATTTCTCCGTGTTGGTAAAATATATATGAAAAGGCAAAAACAATACTCCTTTGTATTGCTAAAAAGAAAAATTTAACAATAAACTAATGCATGGATTCTAATGGGCTAACCGCTAATCATAAAATAAAAGAGTTGAATGGGCCTGACCTACACGGGATTTTCCCATCAAGTAAAACAAATGAACATCATAGGTTTTCCATTCTAAAACAAGCTATTTTCTCTAGCATAATATATATTATGCTATTATTTTATATCTTAGTGG